TCAGGCTTGGCTTAAGCAGATTTCCTGAACCTGCGTCAGCTTAAGCTGGAGGAATTTTAATAAACCCTCCCCTGTAGGCGTGGGCCTAAATGAGGCTAGCCTAGTTAAGCCTGATCTTTTTCTGTTTGTGAAAAGAGCTGAGCAGAGCTGAAGGCTGCATGGTGGTTACAGGACTGCCTACTTAATTTGAAAAGAACAATGGTAGGAAAGGCTAGATCTTCCAATTTTACCTTATCTGAAAAGCTAGATTTACTAAAGCTTGTGAAGCCATATGTGAAAATTCTCGAAGAACACACTAATAAACATTCAGTAATTGTGGAAAAGAATAGATGTTGGGATATCATAGCAGTTAACTATAATGCAATTGGAGTAGACCGCCCTCCTCGAACAGCGCAGGGCCTACGCACCCTTTACAAAAGGCTCAAAGAATATGCCAAACAGGAGCTATTGCAGCAGAAAGAGACCCAATCAGATTTTAAAAACAATATTTCTGAGCCAACCAAGAAAGTTATGGAGATGATTCCCCAGATTTCCAGTTTTTGCCTGGTAAGAGACAGGAACCACATACAAAGGTAAGCTTTATTTTATTTTGTTGTGGAAAATTATGGCGCCTCCTATCTATTGAGTTTTGGCTTAGCTGTGATAGAGAGATGCATAGTAAGCATCCCTACCAGGAGAGCAATGAATAGTGTCTTTGTTTTGCATTCTTAAAAAAAGAAAAGTGAGTCTATTAGGAATTTTTTCTGCTGCATTTGATGTAAGCCACCTTTTACTGTCTCCCCTCCCCCTTTCCTCTTAAAATTTTTAAAGTAAAGGTTAGAGGAGAATAAATGGGCTGAAATTTGTGACGCTACTTCATAAACTTTTCATACTTTAAAATGAAATTATTCAATTTGCTTCTGAAAGATAACCTTTTCTTATTTAACATTTTATGTCACAGGAATTTTAAATTTTATATAAAATTTATATGGAGTTTACAGTTTCAGGAGAAACAGAATCTTTGCTTTTTTATGAATTGTAACTATCTATATTTATTGAATATGCATTGAACTAGCTAAAATCAAGTAGACTTATTAATGACAGATTTATATATAAGTAAAGTTATTTTAAATTCTTTTCTGACATTTAAAATAAGCACAAAGGGAGTTAATGACTAGAAATTCAGATTACTTAATAAAATGAAAAGTTTTTGTTATTTTTATTAATTAGTAGTTTAATTTCATTTTGATCTTGGGTCGTTCTGCTTTGCAAAAATATCAAACTATGAGGCTTAATATGCCCATAAGAACAACTGGGTGCTCTCCTGTTCTAAACAAGTTTCTTGGTTAAGTTGTGTTCTAAATAAATATTGCCTGCGAATCTTCAAAACTGTGATGTTGCCACTAATCCAAATTTTAACCATTGGCAAAAAATTAAAATGGTAGCTACATTCTCCTGAACCAATCAAGGTAATTTAGACAAATTTTAAACTACTTGTTAGTTGAGGGGCCTTTCAAACAAAGCTTTATACAATGTGCTGTCCTATTGGTAGAAGAGGTATTATACAAACAAAATGATTGATTACCTGTGAAAGCTCTTTGAAGTTAGTAGAGAAATGGGAAAACTTTTTACTAAGTGTACCTATTATTTTGGTAATTTACTAGGAAAATATTTTTGAACCTAGCTTACCATATATTGATTATTCCTACTGGACAGCACAGTGGGGAAAAAATACCACCTGTGAAAATCCAAGACTTGGATACAGAGTGGATTAGTTCTTGGTGCCACTAGTTAAAATGTTTGCTGTGATGACAAATGATGAAAATGCTGGATCCCCAAAATATCCCACCATAAAATTGTTTTATGCTCTTTCTTACTCATAACCTTCCCTTCCCCAACCCACAGAGAAAAGTGTCTTTTGCATTACAGGTATAAAACTGTACCTTTTAGGTGTTAAATATGGGTTTTCATAATTTGAAAACTACATGTAGGAACTGTGTTTTTTGTTAGCTGCATGTTTTAAAAATATAGTGAGAGTAGAAACAAAATAATATATAATATACTAGTATCTCATATGTGCATTCATACATGTAATCATTTGGGAAACCAGCATTTCTCTGATAAAAATGGGTTAACTGATTTACACATTACTCTACCTGCTGTTTAAATAATACTTATTTTTTCAGATTTAAAGAGAACATAACTATGTCACTTCAGTTTTTACTTAGTGTCTACACTGACATTTTTGTCTGCATTAGCTTCTTCACTTAATATATTTATATATTTTATATTGTGCTTGTATTTATTTGATTGGTATCATCTTGAATTTTAATAATTATCTCAGAGGCTTATAATTATTTTATAACCCTCATTATGGTTCTACATAAAAATACCTTTTAATGTCACCAAATTCTTTCTTTTTAATAAGGAAAATATTACTGCTTGTATTAATGAATTAAAAAATATATACCTATTGTGTAAGGCTATTTATTTCTACAACACACATTACTTTGTCTTTATTTTTACCTTTCCCTAACATCAGATTATAGTTTGTGATTTTGTAACCTACTAAATATATAAATTTTAGAAATTTTAGAAATCTTTCTCTATTTATCATCTTTGTGAACTTCTCTAAGCTCCAACCTTCACTTGGTTATGCCTTATTTGTAATATTTTAACTAAAATAGAATGACATAGTCTAGATTTAAGGCAAACTTTAATTGACACGGAAGTATAATGCCACTTTATACCTTATTATATATACTTATTTGGAATAGTAATTACATGAGTTTTTGAAAACTTAATTTTCATCTATATCTGTAAACTTTTCCCATTCTAGGTTTTAGCAGTGTTGTATTTAAATTAGTCTTGCTAATTAGAATTACATTAAAGTCCATTGTTTTGTTTTTGGAATTGATAAAGTGATCAAAAAAGACAAGAACACACAAAATAAAGGAATTAATATAATGTACAAATAGTTTTCTTATTATATTTCTGTTGAGCAGTTTGATTTATTTCTGAGACAAATATCTAATATTTCTGGCAATTTAATACCATTAGTATATGACATTTGAGGTGTTTTAAATTTTTTTTATTATATTCTGCTTGAACTTGTTAAAATATTTTAATCATTCATGTAGAATGCATTGTTAATTATTATTTATTATTTATTATTTGTAAAATGTTCTCTAAATAATGTTAAATATCACATTTCCACTAATGTTGGAATTATCTCTTTCTGCTCTGTAACTTTTAAAGTAGAAGTATAATAAAAAAAAGAAGTCTCAAGAAGAAAGATTAAATACCATTTGATCCAGCAATCCCACTTCTGTCTCTCTCTGTCTGTCTGGTGAGCGCACATGCCCTATAGCAAAAACCTCTCAAAAAAAAGAACATGTGAGTAAGCCAGGCTATGAAAGAAAGATATTGTATGTATCCACTCAATATATACCTACTATCCGCACTCTATGATAGAGAGCAAAAAATCGGAGGACATAAAAGCAGTGAAGGTACTTAATGAGAATAGGACAGTGTGGAATGGGGTAAGTGAAGAGAAGAGGATAGAGAAAGATAGCAAGTGAACAATAGAGGGGCAGGACGTTAGTGAGAAACAGATAGGGCTTATTAACTGTTGATGATAACATGTATAGTATTCTCAACTGGATTGGTCTGAGAAGTATTTCATGATGGGCAAAGTATTTTTACAAGCAAAATGAGAAATAGCAATTGACTGTTTTAAAAAATAATTAGAATAATAAAAATAATGTTTGGGGAAAACATAGAAAAGATATTGAATGTTGAAATGGGGAGATTAATGTCTCTGTACTGACTGACATGCATGGCATTCCCTTTTGAAAAAACAATGTAATACACTGTAAAGTTATATGTAATCCAGTGTAATATAAAGAAGATTATGATGATGATAATAAAAAAAGTAAAGAAAAAGAAAAAAAAAAAGAAGAAAGATTAAATACTCCTAATTAGCAGCTTCATGTTATACATGGAATTAAAAAAAACAAACAAACAAACAGAATTTTAATCTTAAGAATTTAAAGAATTTTACCTGAGTTTACAATACCGTAATAAATACATTAAAGTTTAATTTATACTAAAGCTGAAGTTGCCTTCCCTAGGAATATATATTTTAGGATATTATGTATAAATTTAATAAATCTTCAGTGTGTCATAGGTCATAAATGTTTTTATAGGTCATATAAGAAAACCACTTAATTTGTTTATTTATTCAATTTAAGATAGAACAAGCATCTAGGAAGTTCTCAGTACAGTGTTACGCTAAGTGCTGGGTATACATTGTTGGATAAAACCTTTGCTTTGGTGAACTTTACCTGACCAATGGTTGTAAAGTTTAAAGAGCAACTGAAGTGGTTCAGTATAGATAAAGGGGAAATGCCACTGCATCTGAAATAGGATAGTTGGGATAACCCCCTGATAGTTTCACATACTCCAAAGCCATCCACAATCTTTATTTTCATTTTTATATATTTATTTGTTTATTTTTGAGTTCAAATGCAGAAGTCAGTACCTCCGATGTATGACTTCTCATCCTAGAAGTCATGGGCCTTGATGGTTTCTATATTGGTTCAGTGGAGCAGAAGCAGGAGGTATAGTGATAGGGAGAGGGGATAGCAAGGCCCAGAATGCATTACGTTTTTCTTTACACAGTTTAAGAACCTCAAAGTTGCAGAGACAGTAGGTATCTCTGAGAGCATTAGAAATAACGTTTCTTTTTTGATTAATTGGCTTTGTACACTATTTGTAATTTCTTGCCTTTTTAAGAATCCAGTTTTAAAGTTAAGGGTGGAAGAGACCTGTTATGTATGTTGTTGACATCTAAATTGTAGTCATTTTGTTATCCCAAGTGGTAAATTTATTTTGTTTCATGATTTTCTTTATAGTTTCACAGTTTATAATTTAATGCATATAAAGTAGGAAGTTGTGCTATAAATGTACACTTGCCTTTATTTGATTTACATTTTGCAATGCTTTTTTGTGTGCTATAGTGCAAACTTGGATGAGGAGGCACAGGCTGGTACCAGTTCACTACAGGTAATGTTGGATCACCATCCTGTGGCTATTACAGTGGAGGTGAAACAAGAAGAAGACATTAAACCACCTCCTCCACTGGTTTTGAGTTCTCAACAGAGTGATACTGTAGAACAAAGAGAAGAACATGAATTAGTACATGTTATGGAAAGATCTTTGTCGCCATCACTTTCCTCTGTTGATATGAGAATGACATCGTCTCCATCTTCTATCCCAAGGAGAGATGATTTTTTTCAGCATGAGAATGGAGGACATTTTAGGTCACAATTAGGGTATGATCCTCAGATCCTGCAAATGTTGAAAGAGGAGCATCAGATAATTTTAGAAAATCAAAAAAATTTTGGATTATATGTTCAGGAGAAGAGGAATGGATTGAAAAGAAGGCAGCAGCTAGAGGAAGAGCTACTAAGAGCAAAAATTGAAGTGGAAAAGCTGAAAGCAATTCGCTTACGGCATGATCTACCTGAATATAATAGTCTCTAAGGGTTTTTAAGTCTTGTAATTTGATCATTTTAATTTAGGCCAAGTACTTTAATTCAGGAATATACTGAAGCAGAATATGTGTTCTTGAAAATTGTTAATCTCCATTAGGGAAAAACTTTTTTGACATGATTTTGTATATATTTAATTTTTCTTTGAGACTTTAAAACTTGCTGATTGGTTGGCATGGTTATAATTTTCATTATCTTCTCCCAGTGTTTATCTAAAGTTTAATTGCTGGCCTTATGAAAAATATTTTATTTTGATCATTAAAATATATACAAATAAGTATACAAACACATGTTCTTTCTTTTTTTTTTTTTTTTTTTTTTTTTTTTAGGGTGCTTGGGCTTTTAGAGAGAGAGAGAGAGAGAGAGAGAGAGAGAGAGATAGAGAGAGAGATGGACAATGAGAAATCACCCCCTGGGGTGGGGGGATGGCCACGCCACAGTCCCATCTCCGTTCTCCTCTTGGGATCTTGGGCACACATGCACACGAGACTGGTGTGAATTTTAAGCCACTGGTCCGGGACTCAAACTGCAGTCAACTACATGGGAGTCCAGCAACATAGCCATTACGCCAACCGCTGGTCCCAAACATATATTCTTTCAAAGTTCTGAGTTTTCAACATTTTTAACTAGAACTTTGAATGCTTTACTGAGAGGTTTTTAAGTCAAATTTGTAATAGAAGCTATTCTATTAATAAGTTTATTTGTATGATACATATTTTTATGCTTTTGTCTTTTGAAGGAGTAAATTGTACAATTTTTAGAGATGGAAAATATTTGAACACTTTTCCCCCACCTCTTCAATTTAGAGGTAATAAAATTGAGTTCAGGGAGAACGCCATGACTTATTTAAGGTAACAAAAGTATTGATACTTATGGCAGAGCAAGAATCAGCACTCAGTTCTTCTCTTTGTAATTTTTTCTCTTGCTACTCAATAGAAACAAAAATCCACTAAAATATACTCTAGACTTAAAAATTAGAAACATTTATTTCACTAAAATTGCCTTTTATTTTATTTATTTATTTTTTTAGATTGCTATAGGGCATGTGTACTGGCCAGAGATAAGGGAGAGAGAGAGAAAGAGGAAGTGAGGAAATCATCCCCTAGGGGAGATGGCTATACCACAGTCCCTTCTCCTCTAGGATTTTAGGAATTACATGTACATGTGCATGTGCCTGGCTTGATTTTCAGGCCACCAGATCTGAGATTCAAACTTTGATGTTAGTCGTGTATGATCAACTGCCTTGACCTCCATGCCACCTGCTGGCCCTAAAATTGCTTTTAAAGATTGTTAGGTTATGAAATCAGGGAAATTGTCTCAATTCTCTCCCTTTTACCCTTTTTTTCAGTCCAGCAAAATAAGCTAAAAATATACTCTTATCAAAGCTCTCATGTTTTGGTTGTGTAATTTAAGGAAATTATATGTCTTAATTCATTTTAAATGTCTTATTCTGAAGATTTTTTTGCAGTAAAAATTGGAATAAACAAAATAAAAATTTTACTTAGAATGAAAATAGTAAAAAAAAAAGTTTATAATTTGTGACATAAACCGTGGCCTTACCTTTTTGTAAATATTGTTGTTTTGGTATTTGTAGAAATAAACTTTGATTCTTGAAACACCCATTAAATTTATGTTAAATCTTTATATTATATAACAACTTCTATTTTTGCTGGGGTTTTGTTGAACAAAGTTTTTTTTTTTTTTAATTTTTTTTTATTTAATGAAAGAGAGTAAGAGGGAGGAGTATTTTTGACAGGATCTCACTCACTATGCCATCATCTACCTGACCCCGCCTCCTAGTTAGCTAGGATTTCAGACTCATGCTGCTGTACCTGGCTTGCTTTAATGTTAGTCTGGGAACCAAATCTGGCTCTCCCATGTGGATCCAGCTTTGTGTAGCAGTGCTCTACTGCCTATGCCACTGTGGCTGGGCTGCAGAAAGATTTTTACACCAAGCTTTTGAAATGAGGTAGGTAGAATTCAAGCAGGACAGGGGAAAAAGGATATTTGAAGTAAGGGTGAATGTGAGAAAAGGCAGAGAATGGAGAAGAGTGGGTCAGGGTACATAACCATGAATACAGTGCTAAGCTAGGTGATTTTGAATGAATGTTCAATAGAAAGAGCCAATTGGGCTATACTAACCTGGACTAGGACATCTCCCTAGACTAAATGGGGTAGCTGCTGTTTAACTCCAGCAAAATTTTTATTAATACATGACAGTAATATGCCAGAATATGCATTTTTATGTGAAAAATTAATTTTAGAGTTTGCAAATAATTCAAAATACTTTAAAAACACTTTACAAATCAATATGGAGTGGGCTTTCTTTGGCCATTGGACTCCAGTTTGTAGTCTTTGGAGTAGAGCAGTGATTCTTCAGGTGTGTGGGTTCTGATAATCAGCTTTAGCATCACTTGTGGGCTAATTAGAAATGTAAATTAATTTCAGTTGAGTCAGAAACTCTGGCGGTGGGATCCATCAGTCTGTTTTAAAAAGCCCTCTAGAGATTCTGATGTAAACTGAAGTTTGAAAACCAATGAAATATAGTACAAACACCCTTAGTATCTGTGGTGGATGGTTTCAGAAGTCCCCTCATATACCAAATTCATAGATGCTCAAGGACCCTACATAAAATGGTGTAGAACTTGTATATAATATATGCCCATCCTCCCATATATACTTTAACTCATCTGTAGATTACTTATTAATACCTAATATGACATAAATGTTATGTAAATAGTTGTACCTTTTTATTTGAATAATTTTTATTAAAATTTTTTTGGTATATTTTCCATCTGTGGTCAACTGAATACATGAATACAAACCTATGGATACAGAAGGATGACTATATTTTGGATCCTAGCTTGGTGCCTAAATCATACTAGATACAAATTTTTGTTGAAAAGGTGAGTGGGTACAGGTAACTGAGGGATAGGGATATTGTTGAGTCATTGGGAAAGTCATGATGCGTTTTTGCATAGAAAAACAGAAAAAAGTGGAGAGTGGCTGTGAGTTCCAACAGAAAAATATGTCAGGACTTTTCCAATAACTTAATGATTTAATGTTGATTGGGGCCAGATTTTAGATTATATTAAAGGTCTTTTTTTTTTTTTAAGAATTATTTTATTTAACTTTATTTATTTATTTATTTATTTAAATTTGACCAGAGAGGTTCAGAGAGAAAGAGAGAGAGAGAGAGAGCGAGAGAGAGAGAGAGAGAGAGAGAAAGCCACCAAGTCCAGGAATCAAACCATGGTCGAACATGTGGGAGTCCAGCACCCTTAACCACCATACCACAACATTAAATGCCTTTTTAAGGAGTCAGACATAACTGAATGTATGGTGAAAAGCCATTAAAGGCTTTTGTTTAGGAGGATAATGTAATTAGAACTGATTTAGGAAGAGTGGTATAATATAATTTAGGGACTAGCATTGTAGTGAAAGGAAATTAAATCAGAAATTTAGGTATGGTTTCAGAAATAGAGGAAATTAACCTAAAAATGAACTCTCATGGTACTATTTTAGCCTGTTGATTGCTTAATTTCATTTATTGAATTTTAAAAGAAGGTATTTTTATACCTGGCATTAAAGGTAAAGTTTTTGTTATAAAAATATCTCAAATATATAATATATATCCTTCTGGAAATTTTAAAGAATTATTTAATTTTTATTATTTTTAAATTGTATCAGAGAGAGAGAGAGAGAAAGAGAGAAAAGGAAAGTGGGGAAGCAAGTTGTCAGATTTGGGACTTGAACCGTGGTTGGCTATGTGGGAGTCATGCACCTTAACCACCATACTACCTGTAAGCCCCACTTTTGACAATTTTGTCTTTCTTTATTCTGTGCCATAACTTTTGTTTCTAATGAATCATATAATTCTAATGAGGTAATGTTTTTACAATGTAACTCTAGTAATACATCTTTACACTAGTGTACTTTGAAATTAGTAAAAGCAAATTACTATACGAAGTGACTCATTTTGCAATTTCAGCATGCACCTTCTCAGAATTGATAATGAATGTTCAGTTGACTTTGTACAGTGAAATCAGTTTTTCAAGTGTGTTTTGTGGGCCATTAATTCTGAATTCTTTTTAGAAGAGTTCTGTGTTCAGAAAAGTATAACATACACCTTTTTTGGTGGTTAGGTTCTGAAATCTGTGTGGGAGGTAAAAATATTATACACAAAATTGCTCTTGAAAATTCCTTCACTGTCCTTAAAATAGCATAAATATAGTCCACTATAAACATTTTTATTATTTTCTTCAGCGTTATTTAAGATGACTGATTCCTTGGTTGTGTCAAGTGACACAACTTAATATTATTTTGGGGCTGTGTAAAGAAACTTATTTTATTACATTGTTTTTTGACAGCAAAATTATACTCATTGTGGTTTTCTGCAGTTCTCATGAGTCACTCTTGTTTAGTTTTGTGAAAGTTTAAGTGCATCTAATTCTGCTCCACTGACCAACCACCTCCCACCATGAAACCATGATTAGCATAATACAGCTTCTAAGAATTCTCATATAAAGACAATTA